CTTGTGCAAGATGGATTTGGGTATTTGGAGTTTTCTATTTTTAGGATATTTTTCTGGTCCTGTGAAAAAAATACCAAGTGTTTTACAGATCACTTTGGTAGTGAGGATAACTTGATGATGTTAATTTTTTCCCATATATGTACCCTCTTCAGTTAGGTGGCCTATTTTAAGACAAGTATAAGACATGCAGGGATTGTTTTAGTAATACCTATTTGAGAGAATTTTATAGAGAAATGTACTGATATTTATATGCTGCTTTCCTTTATTGAAAATGGATTTGTTTTTCTCACATAATATATCATGATTACAGTTTCCCTTCCCTCAACTCCTTCCCAGTCCCTCCCCAGCTCCTCACCCATCCGGACCTAGCCCCTTTCTGTCTTTCATTAGAAAACTGACTTCTTTTTTATTTTATTGAGCTCTACATTTTTATCTGCTCACCTCCCTTCCTCTTTCCTCCCCTTCAACCCTTTCCCATGGTCCCCATGCTCCCAGTTTACTCAGAAGATCTTGTCATTTTCTACTTCCCACGAAGATTAGATCCATGTATGTCTCTCTTAGGGTCCTCATTGTTGTCTATGTTCTCTTGGATTGTGAGCTGATTTTCTTTGCCTTATGTCTAAAAAGCACTTGTGAATGAGTACATAGGATACGCTTCTGGGTCTGGGTTACCTCACTCAATATGATGTTTCCTAGCTCCATCCATTTTCCTGCAAAATTCAAGATGTTATTTTTTTTTCTGCTGTGTAGTACTCCATTGTGTAAATGTACCACATTTTCCTTATCCATCCTTCGGTCATGGGGCATTTAAGTTGTTTCCAGGTTTTGGTTATAATAAACAATGATGCTACGAACATAGTTGAGCACATGTCCTTGTGGTACGATTAAGCATCCTTTGGATACACACCTAAAAGTAGTATTACTGGGTCTTGAGAAAGTTTGTTTCCTAATTTCCTAAGAAATAGCCATACCAATATCCAAAGGGGCTGTACCTGCTTGCACTCCCACCAGCAATGCTGGAGTGTTCAATTTGCCCCACAACCTCTCCAGCATAAGTTGTTATCAGTGTTTTTGATCTTGGCCATTCTTACAGGTTTAAGATGGAATCTCAGAGTTGTTTTGATTTGCATTTCTCTGATGACTAAGGATGTTGAACATTTTTTTTAAGTATCTTTCAGCCATTTTAGATTCCTCTTTTGAGAGTTCTCTGTTTAGGTCTTTACTCCATTTTTTATTGGATTATTTGTTCTTTTGATGTCCAATTTCTTGAGTTCTTTGTATATTTTGGAGATCAGACCTGTGTCTGATGTAGGGTTAGTGAAGATCTTTTTCCATTATGTAGGTTGCTGTTTTGCCTTATTGATCATGTTCTTTGCTTTACAGAAGCTTCTCAGTTTCAGGAGGTCCTATTTATTAATCATTTCTCTCAGTGTCTGTGCTATTGGGGTTATATCTAGGAAGAGGTCTCCTCTGCCGCATTCAAGTATAGTTACCACTTTCTCTTCTATCAGGTTAAGTGTGGCTGGCTTTATGTTGAGTTCTTTGATCCATTTGGCCTTGAGTTTTGTGCATGGTGATAGATATGGATCTATTTTCATTCTTCTGTGTGTTGATTTCCAGTTATGCCAGCACCACTTGTTAAATATGCTTTTTATTTTCCATTTTATATTTTTTTGCTTCTTTGTCAAAAATCAGGTGTTTGTAGGTGTGTGGATTAATATCTGGGTCTTCGATTCGGTTCCATTGATCCTCTTGTCTGTTTTTATGCCAATACCAGGCTGTAGAAAACAAACTTCTTAGTGACTAATGAAATAAAAGCTGGATGGTGGTGGCGCATGCCTTTAAACCCAGCAGAAGGATCTCTGTGAGTTTGAGGCCAGCCTTGTCTACAAGAGCTAGTTCCATGACAGACTCCAAAGCTACAGAGAAACCTTGCCTCAAAAAAACCAAAATAAATAAATAAATAATAAAATAAAATAAGATAAAACAAAAACTAACACATTAGAATAAAACAAAACAAGCAGAAGGAAAGACCCCAAGGTACAATAAACAGATATAGACTGAGAGACACACTCATTTGCACATGCAGGAATCCCATAAAAAAGAAAAACTGATATCCATAATAAGTGAAGAACCTGAAGGTTAAAAAGAAAGAAAAGTTTAAAATTCATATAAATAAAGTTAAAATAAGATAAAAAAAAATCCCTGACAAAAAACTTCCAAAGATACCACTGAGTTCATTTTCTGTTGTCCATCTACTTCTGGGCATGCCGTCTAGCCTTAAGACTAGGTTGTTTCCGCAGTGAGACTGCCTTGGGGAAAAAAAAAAACTAAATTATTATTTGCAAGCGGTTATCAATTGGAGATTACATCTGCATTAGGGACAGAGGCTTGTATCCATTTTTCTTTTCAGATCTAGGTCACCATCTGGAGCAGAGCCTTTGCAGGTCCTTTGAATGTGCCTCAGTCTCTGTGAGTTCATATGAGCTTTGCTCAGCTGATTTAGAGGGCCTTGTTCTCCTGATGTCCTTCATTTTCCCTGGCTCGTACTCTCTTTCCATCTCCTCTTCTACAGGGTTCCCTGAGCTCTGAGGGAGGATTTGAAAGAAACATCCAGTTTAGGACAGAACGTTCCAAGTTCTCTCCCTCTCTGCATATTGTTTGGCAGTGGGTCTCTGTATTTGTTCCCATCTGCTACAGAAGGAAGATTCTTTGATGATGGCTCCAATGATGGCTGAATAAGGCACTGATCTAGGAGTACAGCAGAATACCATTAGAAGTCAATTTTGTTTTTTGCTACATTGTTTTAGTAGGACAGTAGTATTTGGTTTTTTCCTAGGTCCCTGGGCTATCTAGTCCCAGGCTCTTGGTCATCCAAGTAGCACCAAATATGAGTTCCATCTTTTGGAGTGAGCCTTAATTCAAAGCAGATATTGGTTGGTTACTTCTACAAACTTTGTGCTACCATTGCCCTAGCATATTCTGCAGGCAGGACACCATTATATAGCAAACAGTTTGTGGCTGGCTTGGTATTTGTATTTCTTTTTTGGTAGCCTGCAGAGTACCTTCCAAAGACACTAGCATATAGGATCAACATATGCATCAGCTCAACTTCTCTATGTTCAATGAGTTCTGTGGGTATTGTCTTCAGCAATAGGGCTATGTCATCAGGAAATTCCCATGGGATCCCTTTGGCCTACAACTCAATTAGATGTATTCCATTCTTGGTACTGAGAGCTTCATTTGGTAACGAGATGTCTAGTTGGGGCTCTGTCTCCTCCATTATTTGGCAATTTCATTTAAATTATTGATGTGTGATTCCCCTCTGTGTGCTATGAATATGTTTTATTGCCATTGGTTAATAAAGAAGCTGCTTTTGGCCAATGGCTTAACAGAATATAGCCAGGCTTAAAAAGATATAGAGAGAGAGTAGGCAAGAGTCAGTGAGACACCATGTAGCTGCCAAAGGAGAAAGACGCAAGCTGCCAGCAGGACCTTGCTGGGAGGCCACGAGCCTCATGGTAAAATATAAAATAATAGAAATGGGTTAATTTAAGATGTAAGAGCTAGCTAGAAATACACTTAAGCTAGAAATACAGTATTGCAACTAATATAGTTTCAGTGTGATTATTTCATATCTGAGTGGCTGGGAAATGAACAAGCAACACAACATCTTCATATATGTATATATTTTGAGAAATTTCTAAGGTATTAGGTTTCCATATTACCCCTTAAATAGCCCCTAATTTTAGTTATCTCTCCCTATATTCCCTCTTTCATCTCCTCTTTACAATTCTTTCTCACTTTTTTCTCCTATTCCAGTGTCCCCCATCCCACCCAATCCATTCACAACTATCTATTCTATTTCACTTTCTTTTTTTTTAATGATAAATTCTAAGGTCAAATTTTATTTCTACAAAAAAGGCAATGGAAACACTATAAAACACATTAAAAGGATATTACTGAGTGAGCTTCAGGTGAGCTTGACCCTGGAAAGGCTGAATCCAGAGGGAGGGAAAGGCCGTCCTGTTCCTGGGCTGCACCAGCAGCTTCTCTGAGGAAGGGGCAGCTGGTTACAAAGCAGAAGCCATCAATGCTGATCCCACAAGATGCAAACCATGCGGAGAACGACAGTGGTGGCCTACTGTGCTGAGGAGTGGGAGCTCCTTGGCACATCTCAGCAGAGCTTGGTGGTGGAGAAGCTTGAGATTTCAAAAGAATATTCTGGCTTTTGCCTTGACCTGGGATAACCAGCAGGTCATCTGCCACAGCTGCAGGGAGGGCTGCTGACTGGAGAGAATTCATCACACAAGTGCACAGCGTTCTCTGCTCCAAGGTCACTACAAAGTCAGCCTGACCACAGGATCAGAGCGTGGGGTCTGCCCGTTGAGTCTGTTACTGTGGAAACACTTTGCTAAGATTTTATGTAAAAGCAGCTTCCCTTTGCACAGACATTCTTTTGGGCGGTTGATATTGTTTCATAATCTTTTGTAAGTACATTACTAAGATGGCATTAGCGGACTTGAACTATCACCCACAGGCAGTGTGGCACAGGAGAAGGGCTGCTGCTTCTGTGGGAGCTGGGGCCGTAGTCTGTGGAAGTGGGATTGAAAAAGAAGAAGGCGATGGGGAGAGGGAATCACAACTCTGTTTTTTAAACCTTCTGGGCTAACTGTAACTTTGAGTCTGGGCAGGAAAAGAAATGGCATTCTTTCGAAGTAAACTAAAGCAGTGATTTTTAAAACAAAGCAAGCAGAACTAGAACATGTGAATTTTTTAATCCTTCTTTACAGGTTACCTAGACCACTTTTGATTAAGAAAACTGTAGAAAGTTAGTAACTGCCAGGTGGTGGCACGTGTCAATTTTCCAGAGTCCTGCTGTGCTGGGTATCTGTATGCACTGCTCGGGGGCCCTGCTCAAACTTGCTGGAATCGTTCATGGCAGATTTTAGTCCACAGGTCGCTTTTCCCCATATTTCTTTGTAAACTCTTCAGCATTCTTACAGAAATTTTTTATGGTCCTTAGAGTATTCTTCAGCTATGTCAGCCCAGAGTGGGTGCTCAGGCTGAGGGTCATTCACCAGTGCTATGAGGGACTGGATTACTTGGTCGGTTTTGGTGGCTGGCTTCCAGTTTTCAGCACTAATTACTGCCAGACATACCTGCCCCTTCTCATCAATGTTAGGGTGGTAGATCTTGGTCTTAAATGTGATCTTGGGTGGTTTGAATGGATACTCTGCTGGAAAGTTGATTTCAATTCTGAAGGCCCCCTTAGCATATGGAGGGTTGTCCTTCATCAGCCTCCTGCTGGCCGCCATCTTGGATCTGGTGCTCTCTGTTTCACTTGCTTATGGAGACCTATCTATCCCCCATGCCCCTAGTATCTTACTCTATATGTAATTTCTGTAGTTACACAGATTATAACTTGTTTATCATTGATTTAATAGTTAATATCCACATATAAGCGAATACATACAATATTTGTCTTTCTGTGTTTCTGTATTTGGATTACCTCACTCAGGATGATTTTTTTTCTAGTTTCATCCATTTACCAGTAAGTTTTTTGGGGGAGAGTGGTTTTTCATAATAGGACTTCTCTGTGTAACAGCCTTGGCTGTCCTGGAACTCACTCTGTAGTCTAGGCTGACTTTGAACTTTCATAGAGATCCATCTGCCTCTGCCTCCTGAGTGCTAGGATTAAAGGTGTGAGCCACCACACCTGGATATAGTTTCATTTAACAGTAACATTCCATTGTATAAATGTAGCACAATTTTATCCATTCTTCTGTTGAGGGACATCCAAGCTGTTTCAATTTCTGTGTATTATGAATAGACAAACAATGAACAAAGTTGAGCACATGTCCCTGAGATAGTATGAAGCATCCTTTGGGAATATGCCCAAGAGTGGTATAGCCAGATCTTGAGGTAGATTGATTCCTAATTTCCTAAGGAAAAGACACATTGATTTCAATAGTGACTGTACAAGTTTGCACTCGCACTAGCAATGAATGAGTGTTCCTCTTATTCCACATCCTCACCTGCATGAGCTGTCTTTTGTTTTATTGATCTTAGCCTTGCTGAACGGTGAATGTTCAGTTTCTGTGAGGTGTTAAGCCTTCTGTTGTTTCTGTTGTGCTGATATTCAGCTTTAATCTGTGGTGGTCTGACAGGATGCAGAGGGTTATTTCAGTTTTCTTGTATCTGTTGAGACTTGCTTTGTGTCTGAGCATGTGGTCAGTTTTGGAGAAAGTTTGGTGACAAGAAGGTATATTCTTTTGTCTTTGATTGAAATGTTCTGTAAATATCTGTTAGGTCTGGCTGGTTTATAACATCTGTTATATCCAGCATTTCTCTGTTTAGTGTTTTTTTCTGGATGACCTGTCCATTGGTGAGAAGTACGGTGTTGAAGTTTATTATTCACTATTAGTGTGTGCGGTTCAATGTGTAATTTAAGCTATAGTAGTGTTTCTTTTACAAACTTGGGTGTCCTTGAGTTTGGCTCATAGATGTTAAAACCTGTTATGTCCTCTTGGTGGATTTTTCCTTTGATGAATAAGTAGTGTCCTTCCTATCTCTTCAGATTAGTTTTGCTTTGAAGTCTATTTTGTCAGATATTCTATTAACCTATGTTATTTTTTACTGGGGCATTTAGACCAGTGATTTTGAGACATATCAATGAGCAGTGTTTGTTCATTCCTGTTATTTTGTTGTGGTGGTGTTTATGTGTGGTTCCCCTCTTTGGATTTGCTGGTTTGAGATTGTTTATTCCTTGTGCTTTCTTGGGTGTCGTTGACCTCTTTAGCTTGAAGTTTTCCTAATACTTCTGTAGGACTGGGTTTGTAGATAGATACTACTTAAATTTGGTTATATCATGGAATGCCTTATTTTCTACATTTATGGCGATTGAAAGTTTTGCTGGATATAGTAGCCTGGGCTTGAATCTGTGGTCTCTAAGAGTCTGCAGCACATCTGTCCATGCCCTTCTGGCTTTTAGAGTCTCTGCTGAAATGTCAGGAATAATTCTAACAGGTCTGCCTTTATATGTTACTTGATCTTTTCCCATTGCAGCTTTTAATATTCTTTCTTTGTTCTTTGTTTAGTGTTTTGATTATTATGTGCTGAGTGGGCTTTTTTTTTCTATTCCCGTCTATTTGGTGTTCTGTAAGTTTCTTCCACCCATATAGGCATATCCTTCTTTGGGTCTGAGAAATTTTCTTCTGTGATTTTGTTAAAAACATTTCCTGTTTGTTGACCTAGGTTTCTTCTCCTTCCTCTATTCCTGAAATAGACCATTTTAAAAGAAATTTTGAGATGAAATTAGAGGAAAAGCAAGGCCCAAGAAAAAGAAATCGTTAAATGAAAACTTTAGCCTGTTTTGAGACGGAGATAATTTTGTAAAAAATCAGAACAAGATACTATGAGTATAGCAGAATGTTGTTAGAGTCGTCAAGACACTGTCATAGATCAGTGTCGTGTACAGCCATCATCAGAGAAGCTTCCCCATGCAGTTGATGGGAACAAATACAGAAACCATTCAGAGACCATTTATTTTTAAATAATTTTTAATTTTTATTAAATATTTTTTCATTTGTTTTACATACAGACCACAGTTTCCCCTCTCTCCTCTGCTCCTGTTCCCTTCCCTCTCCCCTGTCTCATTTACTCCCTATCCACTTGTTCTTCAGAAAGGAGGCAGGCCTCCTGTGGCAGTCCACAAAGGGTAGCACATCAAGTTGAGGCAGGACCAAGATCCTCCTCTTGTATTCAGGCTGGGTGAGGCAACCCAGCATGGGGAACAGGTTCCCAGAAGCCAGGTCAAGAGCCAGGGACAGGTCCTGATCCCACTGCTAGTCCCACAAACAGACCAAGCTACACAACTGTCACCTACAGGGAGAGGGCCTAAGTTGTTCCCATTCATGCTCCCTAGCTGTTGGTACAGAGACTGTTGAGTTTTCATGAGCTCAGGTCAGCTGTCCCTGTGGGTTCCTCTGTCATGTCCTTGACCCCCTGGCATAGACCATTCTTGACACAACATGACTAACATATGTGCACTCCCAGAGACTGGGGCAGCAAGCAAATCCCCTGCACAGTGCTGACAGGAAAGGACCACAAGCTCCAATCAATAACAAGAGAAAGATGGCTTTCTCCAGTGGAGTCGCACTGGGGATACAAACCACACTTAGGGCCAGGCCCATGTCCAGCGGTAGATAGTCACCACAAAACAAACTCAACAATATTTTGGGTGTTTAGGGATTTGTTTTGCTTTATTTTGTGTTTTTGCTTTTGTTTTGTCTCACAGTGCTTTTTCTGGGAAAAAAAAAAAAGCTATATGATGAATGATGGTTTCTGATTTTGTTTTTATGAGTTTTCTTTGCGTGTGAATGTGTGTATAGCATCTGGATGTGTTGTTTGTCTTCTTTTTCTTTTGTTTGTGTATTTTGTCTTGTACTGGTTCGTTTCTGTTTTATCTTATTTTATTATCATTTTTAGATGCTTGTTTGTTGTCTAACGAGAGGGAAAGAAAGACTGTGGATTTGGCTGTGTGGGGAGGATCTGGGTAGAGTTGGAGAAGGGGAACCATAATCAGAATATATTATATGAAAACTCTATTTTCAATAAAAAGGGGAAATTTTAAATTATATATTAAAAATGAAAAGTTATCTGAGAAAGAGACAAAAAAAAGAATTCACTCAAAAGTCCCCTCCAAGTAAGTAAAAGGGATGCCTCTACCCTGAAGCTTACAGGTAAAGAATAGATGAAAATATTTTCAGTGCAGAGAGTAAAAGTTAGGAACTGTGGGTGTGTGACGTTGGCATTGTACCTTTACAAAATAAATTTATAAATACGGGAACATTTTATGTTCACTTATGCCCTATTTTAATGTTTAAAATAGAATCATTCCAAAAATAAGGATAGGAATTATCACAAATCCATAAAAAGCTATAAGACAAACCTGTATAAAATATTTTTTAATGAACTTGGGTAATGGCATTGCAAAAAAAATTGACATCAGAAAAGTAGGTACTTATGATATTCTCCTATAAATTAACTAGAAACTAGTGGTTATTTATGTGTCCCAAACCTATGAATGATTTGTGTTGATATTTTTCTTTTATAGATTTTCACATTTCATACAAAACTGATACGTTACTTATAAAACCAAAGAAAACACATTTAAAAAAATACAGTTCCTGTGTTTCTTTGCTTTCCTGGCTTAATTCCTGCCAGAGGCCTGCCAGTTGCTATTCTAGCCTCTCACGCTGCTTCTCTGCTGAAAAGAACAGATGTTCTTTAAGCCAGGGCTTATTCAAGATTCAGAAAGGTAAGCTGTCTGCTGCCATTGCTCCTTTGTACTCTTATCCGCAGTCTGATGCTAATAGGATTGTATAGAAGAAAAGATGGTAGTCACCTCCTACTGCTCTTACACACAAGCTCTATAGAGCTCTTTCTCTTATTGTTTGGAGGGAGCAGCCTGTGGAAACCCTTAAGGACTGAAGCTCTAGTGTTTTTGCATGCATGCACAAATTTATGCATGAGAGAGAGGGGGTGAGAGGAGTGTGTGTGTGCGTGCATGCACACATGTGCACATGTGTATGTACGTGCACATGAGCACACACATGTATGCAATAGGAGCATAACCAGCTAAAGGGTCTGAATCTGTTTATAGTGTTCACTACTTCTCTTGATTCCTTACCACTTATAATTCAGAGCATTAGGGTATATCTAATCTTGGAGATTATTCCATTCTTTCATCCTGCTGATGATAAAATTAATGTAAAGAAGGTGGCATAAGGGGCTGGAGAGATGGCTCAATGGTTAAAAGCACTGGCTGCTCTTCCAGAGGTCCTGAGTTCAATTCCCAGCAGCCACATGGTGGCTCACAACCATCTGTAATGAAATCTGGCACCCTCCTCTGGCGTGCGGGCATACATGGAGGCAGAGTGTTTTATACATAATAAATAAATAAATAAATCTTTAAAAAAAAAAAGAAGGTGGCATAATCTGTCTAAATTAACACAGCTTCTTACTGATTCTGGCTTTTGTGTTGCCAAGGTCTTTCACTAAGCATTCCCTCATAAGATATTTCGTTTTGTTCCTGCTTTATTGACACATGCCTATTTCAGATAAACATCTTTGATACATTAATTTTCCTAAATTAATGTTAATTTAAAGTCAACACTTAATCTCTTGTTAAAGAACTTTCATGATATCTCTCTCACACATACACTTCCTCCTTCCTTATTTCTTAAATTTATTTATTCAGCAAACACTTATTACACTAAGCAATTATTATTATGCAGCAGATATTGTATCTACT